TCTGCGACAAGTTCACGACATTTGACCTCGGTCGAATGTGGCGAAAGGACACAACCAAATGACACATACCCATGCGTCGAAACGTCATCATTCCAAGCTTACTCAAGCCGGCAACATACCGAAGAGGGGCTGTCGATGAGCCTACGGCGGTGGAATCACCTTCGCCACGTGCAACACCACCCATCCACAAATAATGGCAATTTGTCTTGGATGGTACTTATTATTCACTCCCCGAAGCCCCTCCAGTATTGCCAAGTCAACCTCATCCTCGCTGAACCCTTCGGCACTATCCTTGCCATTCACCGCCTGCTCTAACCTATGCATGATACCACTCAGCGACAAGCCGTCTCGCCGCGCTTGAGCCATCAACCTTCGAATGCCATCCACGTCATTGTCTGCCATGTAAATGAAGATACTCTTCGCGAGTGCAACACGACCATGCAAAGCCGCGCACTTCCTGAGTTGGTTCAAAGTGTACAGTATCTGCACTTCGAACTTCTTCTTCCACCGCGTCAGCCTGCCTCGTTACTGGTGAGGAGTCAACAAATCTAGAGCAAGGTGCTTCAACCTTGAGTGTTCTGGCTCCAACGATGATCGTTGAACCAGATCTGCTCCAAGACGGAAGGGGTGCAGAGGGAACAATCCAAGGAAAAAAAAGTACATGTGTGGTGGAAAGAGGGTACGACAGTTAAATTGTTTTGCCTTCCTAGTTGTGCCTTCCTATTTCGCGTTTTTTTCGCTACGTGGTCTCACCTCTGTAAACCATACTACCCTTGATGTCAACACACGGCTCGCACGTGCCTCCTGGTTCTTCCACTGCTCCAGCACAACCTGGGGTCAGGATGCCGCGGGCGACGGATTCCACGGCGTAAAGAGCCACGCCATTCGGGTCTATCCGGGCCTCCCATGACAGCCCTTTTTTTACGACACCATGCAAAGCTGCTGGGTAGTGTTGGAGAAGAGGCTCCCGAACATTCGGACGCAATCCCGCGCAGCGGAGGGGGTTTTGGACGCGCACCATATCGGTCGAACCACTCTCGTGTGCAGCGTCGGAGAAAGTTCCATCCATTTCGCTGCTCGCTCCCTCACAACCCTCACGCCCGTTCACAACTCCCGTCGCAACCACCTCACCGTCGCTACCCGTGCCCGTACCGCCCTCACGCCCGCCTGCAACTCCCGTCGAGAGCACCTCAACGTCACTGCTTGCGCCCGCTCCGCCTCCACCCCCGCCTGGAACTCCCGTCGCAACCACCTCAGCGTCGCTACCCGCGCCTGCTCTGCCCTCACGCCCGCCTGCAACTCCCCTCGTAACCACCTCAACGTCACTGCTTGCGCCACCGCTGCTATCCATCACGTCCCTCGACCCCTTCCCGCCGCCCGTAGTGATCGTCGGTTGAAAAAACCTCAGCATTGTACTCCTCTGACGCTTAGCTTCAGCACCACGCCTGCGGATGTGAATAAATATTGGTTGATCCGCCTTTGAGAGACGAAAAAATTATCTAATCGTTCTACTGTACATACATGCTGTGTCAAGTTGCGTAGTAGGCGACACATTCGCACACATCGACAAAGCTGCATGCACGCATTGATACTTTGCGCGACATGCGTGCGGCGAGGATAGACAAAGTAACGGGTCTTGCGAGGTCTTGAAATGTTGGTTAGCACAAGTGAGCAGTCCAAATTACTCGAGAATGCAACTGCGGACACCGACCGCCATCGCCCTCACATGTGTGCAGTCGACCTCTCGTGCTGGTTCACATGAAACTGGGTCAGCCCTTCACCGGAGCCGAAATAGTGCTGGCACGTGGTGCAAACCCAGTTGTCACTGCTATTCCTCTGAGCGATTTTGGCAACAGGCGAACGCGATCTGCTCGCATGCGATGGGCGTGTGGAAAGTGACAGGCAAGGGCAGGGGACACCAATGTAAAGGCCAGTTCTTCTGCAGAGGCAAGAATATCCCCGTGGCACACAGCCTTGAGGGTGGTGCCGGTCTGCATTTCGCGCATTTTTTTCTCAAACGTTGTCACAAGTTTTCATGCTGCTCAGCTACCGCTGCGGCTTCTGCCTCTGCTGTTGAGGCTCCCGCTATTGCTGCTTCTAGTTACATGGGAAGCAGCACAACACACACGCAGCTGCCGCTGCCAGCTACACGGGCAGCAGTACCACCACGTTTGGTGTGTATAACACGACGGCAGTTGCATCGCGAGGGCTCCGCATTCGCGCACTCTTGGTTGCATCCAACCTTGGTGTGGGTTGTTGTGTGTGTTGTTCTTGCTATTGTTGCTGCTGCTGCTGCTGCTGCTGCTGCTGCTGCTGCTGCTGCTGCTGCTGCTGCTGCTGCGAGGCAGATTATACTATAATGCAACCAAGGCAATCTCACAAAATGGTCCTCATTCCTCTACACTCACTCTTCGTGCTTGTGCGAAGCCTCATGCTGCAAGGCGGTGCCCTCGTCGACTCCCGAACCGTCGCCGAAGTTGTGTCCGCTCCATGCCATCCGCTCGCTCTCGGCAGACGCGATTTAGCCAAGCCGTCTTGTCGAAGGGGGTTGTTGATAGGAATCCCCTCCCCACGGAGACTTTGCTCATCGTGACCACTCTCCCCAAGCTCTCGCTCTCCCTCGCTCCTCTGCTACGGACGGTACCGCGGCTGCGGGCTGCGGTACTCTGGAGCAGGGGCTACGTGGATTGTACTGCTCCCTTGCATGAAATGTGCCCACTTTATATATAGGATTTACTATAGACTTTTTTATATAGGAAATTGTGTGGCGTTTGGGGGGGGGGGGATCCACC